CGCCTCATAGAAACCTGTTGATTTACAACATGTCTGCGACCTCCCACGTGCACACGTGCCTTGCACGAGCTGACTCTAAGCAGACGAACATCTCGACACCAGACGATATCCGGTAACAGATGCGGGCAAATCTCGAAAACACCTTTTTTTCACGACGAGCTTTTCAGGCAGTCAAACCACGAATATGGTGTTTTATTAGGAAAACACTTTATTCGGAGTAATAACAACACTTAAGTCACAACCCAAGGTCTTTACCAGGTTTCTCGTTAAATGTTTGCAAAGCCTTCAGCGTGTTGAAAATGAACCGAAAATATGCTACTCTTTTGTAATGAATTCCATTGAGCATGAATGTAACTGCCGCTGCTCTTTGTCAACAGCCAAAATATTTTCATATTGTGGCGATCATGAATGGCGGACCTCCCATGTTCATAAGTTTAGCGTCTGTACAACCTCGAGCCGCTAGGTGTAATGTCCCCCAAGCTGTCGGCGTTCTCAGTCGCCAACGATACAGAGGATTTGAGATGAATGGGGCGTTTTGCAAGAACACGAAAAGATATTTGCCATCTTCACATGCCCCAAAGCCCCATTATTGTGACTATCCTTGTGGTTTTCTCAGATCTTAGTTTTTTCTTCTTGTACTCACAGCGTGATATCGCTAGACTGCTCTTGAAAATACAGACACGGGTAACTAAATGGGGCCATTGTCAAAGTTGTACAAAACTCATGTCTGCTGACATCGTGGACTTACCTTAAGTCGTGTATGGCGTGACGTGACGTGACGAGTGGTTGCTCGGTGATGCAAGTTAGAATTAGTTCTCATGTTGTAGCCTTCCAAATATCTTCATTTAGGATTTTTCGAACTGATAATTGTTGAAACCGATGCCAATTTGCATAACCATTCATATAACTTGTTTGAACTAAAATAATTCGCTTCGAGACAGTGGAATTCGTTTATCCAGACCCGAAGGCCATATATTCTAAGCGGTAAAAAATAATTATTACTTATATTTCATTAATTTTAAGTACACTAAACGTTGAACTGAAAGCTTACGCACTACTATAGTGTATGCATTTATTTATGTGCCGTCTTTGATAAATCTGAAATATTGTCGAGGAGACGATAAATCTTAACTTCCACACTTGTTCCGTTTTTAATTATGTTTAACTATAACACTTAATAATTATTACAGATTGACCAGTATTCTGCTGTGTAACGACATACCGGTCAAGATATATAAGGGTAGACTTGTGTATAACAAAGAGATCCTAAGGCAAAATTTAATTTTAAATTTTAGATTTGTTATTTTATATTTTGAACAATTCAGAAACTAAAGAAACCTTATTGTGTCGACCCGTAACCAATTTAAACACAACTTTCTCTTGAAGTCTGCAAAAACACAAGAGTTGTTTTAGATTAAGTGTTTTCAAATACAATTAATCTTTAACATTAGACGTCTCCTCATGACAAAGTCTCGTTGAGAGTTTACACATTGTTCCAAAGTTACACTGAAGAGCTGTCATGAGACAGCGAAAGTATTATGATTGAAACTGATATAAAGAAGATAATGGACTTACGTGGACTTTATTATTTTATTATATATTACATGTACACCGAGTGAACATTTACCTCATTTTTATACATATATATATATATATATATATATATATATATATATATATATATATATATATATATATATATATATATATATATATATATATATATATATATATAAACAACAACCTGACACAATCTAACAAAAACAATTCTTAAAATAAAGTCAACATATATAGGCCTTTCGTTCAGAATCTTGTGTACTTTATTAAAAGACATTTACATATTTGTTGACATTTTTCTAGAATTGTTTTCGTTAGATTGTGTCAGGTTGTTTTATGTGTTTAATAGCTGTGTGAAGAGATGAACGCGATGATGACTTACATGCGATCATTATACTATTTAAATTGTGTTCCTAGATACCAGACCGTTTCTGTAAACAGAACAAGCCAGGATTGTCGGTTTCCATAGCAATGATAGAACATAAAACTCATTAGATTTAGCCCGCTATACATGCCTGATATGATTAATAGGCAGGAATAACGCGGCTGCGGCGTGAAACAACATTTACACATGTTTTCAATTCACAAATATGTTCCCGAAGACCTGTCATCAACAGCAAGAATAATATCATTGTTTCTGAAGATGATTCAATTTAATGTCATGAACATGATATACACTGTCGGACAAAAAAAAGTACACACTTCAAAATTGGATTTGACCCCCACATTGTGAACGTTATCAACACGTTACTAAGCTGAAAACAGACAGACATTGAGTTTGTTTAAAACGATTATATCTAGATTTTAGAATCGTAAAGAACCACTCTTTACTGAGTTATGAGATACTGTTTCTTTAATAATGTATAGAAAATACAGTTATAAAAGCATAGAGTTAATCTGTAAAAGTATTATATTATATGTACACAAAAATACAAATTACTTACCGGAACAAACGGTGTATGTACACAGGGGACAAGCTTGAGAGGGTGGTGTATAAAATAGATTCAAAATCAGTTTTTGTCAGCAACGATACATAAAAATGGTAGGGCAAATTAAACCCACTTTCTCTGCGTTGGTAAAAAACATCACTCGAGTCGATTAATCTTTCACAATACAGCATTAAATGAGCCCCATCCCCATCACCTAGCTACATGCGTGTCTACCGGGAGGAGGGCTCTCTCATCGGCACCTACATCAGGGCTATCACCAACAACTGGCCGACTCGTCAGGTTGCGCTACCCCATGAGAGCAGCTTACGACGGTGTATTTGCTGGCTCCAATGCCGGGGAAATGGATGGTATTGAAAACATCAGCCTTGTGTTGAGTTCAAAACATTGTAATGTTACCGTGTGGCAAAATGTCAAGGATATGCGACTTTTTCACGATTTCCTTTAAATAAAACTGACAAAGAGCACTTTATGCTGTATTTCAGCAATGTGTGAAATTCTTGTGAACTTGTATGGCTTGTTAATCCTTTTTTATGATATTTATATAGATTAAAATGCTAATTTAATCTTCTTATATAATATTAATATTGATTATCAGTAAACTGACTGGCAAAAGAAGATATTCACTTGAAATTTGGATTTAACAAAATACAAACATTATCAAAATGTTAAAAAAACATTCGCCGAAACACTTAATGTAAAAAACAACTATGATACCCGTATCAAATACATTCACCATAAAAAAACCATTTCTTTCTTGTTTCATTTGTAGCCGCAATCAACATGGGTATAAACTTTCTTTTGTTCAGCAGTTTATATATATCGTAACTATAAAGAATTAAATCCATGCATTTTCAGAATATTTTTTAAGAGAAATCTAATTTCAGTCAGACTGAAATTTCTTTGAACATATGTTAGTATCTGTGTTTTCTGGAGTGCTGGCGTTCAGTTTGGTATATTTGGAAGAACAATCACCATTTTCTAATCATCGTTTGCAAGGAAACCGTCTGACTCTGGGGCGTCTTGTGTGAAGGAGTGGCGCGTTCTGGAACATGATAGCTCTGAAGATTCATCTTCATGGGACTCCCAATCGGTCAAAGAACTTGATCCTAAACATGATTTGACTGAAAGTTTGATGGGTGCGAACGCCCCGTCTGGGTCTAACATTTACGATGGGAAAACAGGTTGCATGTCTGTTGGTTTGGGTCTAGTAGTCGTATAAGTCAAGCGTTTCTTGTAGAACGTAGCCTGTTGAACAGTCAATTCTTTAAGTAACATTTAAATTTGCACCTTGTGCCCCTAACAAATACGTATGTATGTATGTATGTATGTATGTATGTATGTATGATATATATATATATATATATATATATATATATATATGTGTGTGTGTGTATGTATGTATGTATGTATGATATATATGTATGTATGTATGTATGTATGTATGTATGATATGTATGTATGTATGTATGTATGTATGTATGTATGTATGTATGTATGTATGTATGTATGTATGTATGTATGTATGTATGTATGTATGTATGTATGTATGTATGATATATATATATGTATGTATGTATATATGATATATATATATGTATGTATGTATGTATGTATGTATGTATGTATGTATGTATGATATATATATATATATGTATGTATGTATGTATGTATGTATGTATGTATGTATGTATGTATGTATGTATGTATATATATATATAAATTTTACAAATTAGGTCAAAATATTTTAAAACTATAGGACATGATACTTATAACTAAATACACGCTACCAGTTAATCATGTTTTTCAGAGGAAGGAATGGAAGGATATTACTTGTCAAGGATCACGGTTGTTTTCTTGATAGACATTATTAACTATCCGCCATTCTCCACGTACATACAAGGTACTTCTACGGCGGAAAATAGCATGCACATTCATTCAGTTAAGATGAAACGTATATGATTGGTCATGAGACCTTGGGAAAATATATATAATATCTCCCTCCGTACACAAAACAAAGTGATATGTGTAGATAACATCTCTTGACAATGTTCCATTTAGACTGACTTGCCTCTGTTTATACTCAGAAAGCATCAAGAAAACATCAAACAAAACAGACATAAGGAAATGCGTCATTTGATGTCCAGACGCTCGGTGTTGAACTATTTCAGACAAACTTGGCGGGAATGCTAGTACGAGCAGACGGCATTCCCAATTAACCAACATAAGTTGTCTGACTCTGTACGCTGGAGTACAGACGCGTAAAACGTACAGTCGGCCCAGCCTACAAAGGCAAACCAGCTTGTGTCTCGTATCAGTTCCTCCCAAGTGGGTGTAGTAAAGACAGACGTATGCTTGACTAGATGGGGTGTAGACCACCAGAGGCGTCTGGTAGACCCCGCCTTAATATGGCAGGCGGTCGCTGGATCATCCCATGTGATTGGTCAGCCTTCACCCGCCTACTAATTCCTTCTTATAAAACACATGACACACACCTATACACGTATTCCCCACTACACATTTGCCGGAAAGACGATAAACTTATCTTTTCACTGCCGTCTGTTTGACTTTGTTTAAAATCTCCGCTGAAACTTTCTCTTCCAGATTTGTTATCAAAGACGTTTTGAAAATCGATCAAAGATATCGTTTATTAAATATTTGGAGAGTTCGAAACAGAAACTTTTGTTTAACGAAGAAAGAATTTGTTCGAAATATTCCTTTTGAAGACCTTGTTGTCACATTTGTCCACAATGGAAGCGTGGTCGTGTGTTAACATTTTTGTGACTCTGTTGCTGTTTTATGCCGCGATTGAAGACGTCAACAGTAACAACATAAACAGACACAGCAGCAATAACGTTCATATCGGAAACAGTACAGAATTTGAAGACGTGGACGACAATGCTACGGACGCCATCAACACAACGGCATCGCCAAACCTCACAACACAGGAAGACAGAATGTTTGAAATGAGAGAACGGTGAGTATTTTTCATTTTACCTTTAAATAAAACCTACTTTACATATTTGTATTATATCGAAATGCTGACAATTATTTATGATTTCCCTAACCTTGGCAATATTTACATACATTTCAAATGATTGAGCCTAAGTGTTATGTCAGAATTCAAATGATGTTTAAGTGTTTTGAACATTCTTTTCAAAAGTGTATTTAAACAATCTGAACGACATGGATACAGGTCGTGGAGGTCTGTACAGTGTGCAATGTTTTGATACGAGACTCAAGTGATGCAATCTTGAGGGGATTCAGGTGATGCAATCTCTCGCAAACCAATATAACCCTCTCTGTAAACAGCCAACTAGTAATATCACAGTGTTAGCATTGAATGCAGAACTTAAATACCTGGGAACTAAAAGCTTTCCTGTACTGAAGAAAGTTATGAAAAGGTTATCTGGTAATATATAGAGTGTATTGGTGTATTTGTGTAGTGGTGTAGTGGTGTATTTGTGTATTGGTGTATTGGTGTATTTGTGTATTTGTGTATCGGTGTATTGGTGTAGTGGTGTATTGGTGTATTGGTGTAGTGGTGTAGTGGTGTAGTGAGGAGGGGAAGGTCGCCGGTTCGATTCCCGTTCTGTTAAACCAAAATACTTTAAAAGATGGTACTTGTTATTACCCCGCCTGGTGCTCGGCATTACAGGAGATAAAACACGGACTGGTCGGCTCGGTGTAAAACGACGTCATGGTATTTCAGTGGGCTAGGACTATAAAACCGACATTAGTCCGAACTAGTACAGGCAAAAAAGACGAAAATAAAAACAAAAACGAAAACACACACACGCGCACACACACACACAACAACAACAACAACAACAACAACAACAACAACAACAACAATAGGGAAAACACACAAAAATACACACACACGCACGTCGCTGAATACGTACAATAACCTTGAACGCGACGTTAACCTCATTTAACCTCACCTCACCTTGTAGTAGAAATGTAAAATTGATCTTGAACACACATAACGTAACTTTCAACAGCTTAGCTTAGAACTTTTGTCTGCTGCTCAGATATAAAATATAAATACAATATCAAACCCCGATTATACATTCTGTAATATAAGAACCTAAGTATCTTGTAATCAGTACAGTGATGTACCCAAAATCATCTTACAATATAAGTGACACGCGGTTCACACTGTCCATTGGAAAATGGTTAAAAATTAATGAGAGTCTGTCGTACGACCGTGTTGACAGCTAATGCGCAACCCTCAACTCAATCTCCAGTATCACGAACACCCACAACAAACGACAATAATAACAATGTGTATAAAAATGTAATAGTATTCGTTAAGGTGGCATTTTATAACTTTGTGAAAAACACGGCCATCCAATTTAATTCGTTAATATTAATTTCGTTTTCTTGAATGAATATATGGAGTGTATGTGTATGATTATTATTCATAACTACAGGATGGATTTGGCTATAACGAAAAGTTGGAATCAACACAGAAAATAGAGAACGCAAATTAAAGAGATATTTCAAAATTCAAATCAGTTACGAAAAGAACATGATCAGTATAAATTCGAATATAACATGTAGTTCGAGTGTATCGTCATCCCGCAGCAAGCTACACATAGTCACTGATTAGACCTGGTCTTCAACAACACCTGGCATCGACTCTGTACCTGGCGTTATGTAACCAATCTATTACAACACCTGACATCGACCCTGTACCTGGCGTTATGTAACCCATCTATTACAACACCTGGCATCGACTCTGTACCTGGCGTTATGTAACCAATCTATTACAACACCTGACATCGACCCTGTACCTGGCGTTATGTAACCCATCTATTACAACACCTGACATTGACTCTGTACCTGGCGTTATGTAACCCATCTATTACAACACCTGACATCGACCCTGTACCTGGCGTTATGTAACCCATCTATTACAACACCTGACATTGACTCTGTACCTGGCGTTATGTAACCCATTATTACAACACCTGACATTGACCCTGTACCTGGCGTTATGTGACCCATCTATTACAACACCTGACATCGACTCTGTACCTGGCGTTATGTAACCAATCTATTACAACACCTGACATCGACCCTGTACCTGGCGTTATGTAACCCATCTATTACAACACCTGACATTGACTCTGTACCTGGCGTTATGTAACCCATCTATTACAACACCTGACATTGACCCTGTACCTGGCGTTATGTAACCCATCTATTACAACACCTGACATCGACTCTGTACCTGGCGTTATGTGGCCCATCTATTACAACACCTGACATTGACTCTGTACCCGGCGTTATGTAACCCATCTATTACAACACCTGACATTGACTCTGTACCTGGCGTTATGTGACCCATCAAATTACAATACCTGACATTGACTCTGTACCTGGCGTTATGTGACCCATCTATTACAACACCTGACATTGACTCTGTACCTGGCGTTATGTAACCCATCTATTACAACACCTGACATTGACTCTGTACCTGGCGTTATGAGGCCCATCTATTACAACACCTGACATTGATCCTGTACCCGGCGTTATGTAACCCATCTATTACAACACCTGACATTGACTCTGTACCTGGTGTTATGTGACCCATCTATTACAACACCTGACATTGACTCTGTACCTGGCGTTATGTAACCCATCTATTACAACACCTGACATTGACTCTGTACCTGGCGTTATGTTACCCATCTATTACAACACCTGACATTGACTCTGTACCTGGCGTTATGTAACCCAACTATTACAACACCTGACATCGACTCTGTACCTGGCGTTATGTAACTCATCTATTACAATACCTGACATCGACTCTGTACCTGGCGTTATGTAACCCATCTATTACAACACCTGACATTGACTCTGTACCTGGCGTTATGTTACCCATCTACTACAACACCTGACATTGACTCTGTACCTGGCGTTATGTAACCCATCTATTTCAACACCTGACATTGACTCTGTACCTGGCGTTATGTGACCCATCTATTACAACACCTGACATTGACTCTGTACCTGGCGTTATGTGACCCATCTATTACAACACCTGACATTGACCCTGTACCTGGCGTTATGTGGCCCATCTATTACAACACCTGACATTGACCCTGTACCTGGCGTTATGTAACCCATCTATTACAACACCTGACATTGACTCTGTACCTGGCGTTATGTTACCCATCTATTACAACACCTGACATTGACTCTGTACCTGGCGTTATGTTACCCATCTATTACAACACCTGACATTGACTCTGTACCTGGCGTTATGTAACCCAACTATTACAACACCTGACATCGACTCTGTACCTGGCGTTATGTAACTCATCTATTACAATACCTGACATCGACTCTGTACCTGGCGTTATGTAACCCATCTATTACAACACCTGACATTGACTCTGTACCTGGCGTTATGTTACCCATCTATTACAACACCTGACATTGACTCTGTACCTGGCGTTATGTAACCCATCTATTTCAACACCTGACATTGACTCTGTACCTGGCGTTATGTGACCCATCTATTACAACACCTGACATTGACTCTGTACCTGGCGTTATGTGACCCATCTATTACAACACCTGACATTGACTCTGTACCTGGCGTTATGTGACCCATCTATTACAACACCTGACATTGACTCTGTACCTGGCGTTATGTAACCCTTCTATTACAACACCTGACATTGACTCTGTACCTGGCGTTATGTGACCCATCTATTACAACACCTGACATTGACTCTGTACCTGGCGTTATGTGACCCATCTATTACAACACCTGACATTGACTCTGTACCTGGCGTTATGTGACCCATCTATTACAACACCTGACATTGACCCTGTACCTGGCGTTATGTGGCCCATCTATTACAACACCTGACATTGACCCTGTACCTGGCGTTATGTGACCCATCTATTACAACACCTGACATTGACTCTGTACCTGGCGTTATGTGACCCATCTATTACAACACCTGACATTGACTCTGTACCTGGCGTTATGTAACCCATCTATTACAACACCTGACATTGACTCTGTACCTGGTGTTATGTGACCCATCTATTACAACACCTGACATTGACTCTGTACCTGGCGTTATGTTACCCATCTATTACAACACCTGGCATCGACCCTGTACCTGGCGTTATGTAACCCATCTATTACAACACCTGACATTGACTCTGTACCTGGCGTTATGTTACCCATCTATTACAACACCTGACATTGACTCTGTACCTGGCGTTATGTTACCCATCTATTACAACACCTGGCATCGACCCTGTACCTGGCGTTATGTAACCCATCTATTACAACACCTGACATTGACTCTGTACCTGGCGTTATGTTACCCATCTATTACAACACCTGACATTGACTCTGTACCTGGCGTTATGTGACCCATCTATTACAACACCTGGCATCGACCCTGTACCTGGCGTTATGTAACCCATCTATTACAACACCTGACATTGACTCTGTACCTGGCGTTATGTTACCCATCTATTACAACACCTGACATTGACTCTGTACCTGGCGTTATGTAACCCATCTATTTCAACACCTGACATTGACTCTGTACCTGGCGTTATGTAACCCATCTATTACAACACCTGACATTGACTCTGTACCTGGCGTTATGTAACCCATCTATTTCAACACCTGACATTGACCCTGTACCTGGCGTTATGTGACCCATCTATTACAACACCTGACATTGACTCTGTACCTGGCGTTATGTAACCCATCTATTACAACATATGAATACATTTGATATTGACTCTGGCGTTTTGTACCTCCTCTATTACAACACCTGACTCGAACTCTATGCGTACTCTGGTCTGATTTACTACAACCTCCGGGGTGGTCATGACCTCCGAGGTGAGACACTGAATAGGGGACTATTTCTGGTTGTTGTTGTGATTCCTGAGAGCCATTAATCTCTTGTCTGACCCACTTCCGTCAAGCTGTAACCTTCCACTGCCCATACGTTCTATCCCACTCTATCATTTGGCCACGCTACAGTGGATGGAGGTACACTCCTACACAGATCTGACTCTCTTGAACATCATGTAATATAGATCTGTGCAATTTCCCATCACATTATATAGACATTTTTCATTTCAACATCTTAGAATCTAGTAAATAAAAAAGTTGTTTTCCATAAATTGTGTCTACTTTGTCATCTTAGGATTTATGACATATTAACATGGTATAATTAGGGCACATGACATTTTAACGTCATATATTGCGGATGTATGAATTTTGATTTCATTTGGTATTTTATAATAAAAGATATATGTTTGAAGGGGCGATCGGGTAGCCTAGTGGTTAAATCGTTCGCTCGTCACGCCGAAGACCCGGGTTCGATTCCCGACATTGGTACAATGTGTGAAGCTCATTTCTGGTGTCCCCCGCCGTGATATTGCTGGAATATTGCTAAAAGCGGCGTAAAACCATACTCACTCACTATATGTTTGAAAATGTAGTGATTGAGAAATACTGAAAATATTAAGTAAGTTAAAATGTTCCTTTTCAGTAAACAATTCCAATGAGCAAATGATTATATATGAATAGTATCTTACCATGATGGCGGCTAAGATATACGATAACTGGGAAACATGTTTTAATAACTTCTTAAAACAATATCACATAATACACAAAAACTGATGGGTATCTCAGACGTCTTGTCTTTGAAAATCAATAAAGTTGTTTTTTTCCCGACACAAATGTACAGAATTTCAAACATGGGAGGGGTCATCTTGCAGATTCATTTCCTACCCTAGTCAGCGTAAACCAAGTTATGTTACACAATATTACCCACTCACAGATTACCTTTTACACACCGTTACAGGAATTAGTTATAGTTAGTGAGTGAGTGAGTTGGGTTTAACGCCGCTTTTAACAGTATTCCAGTCATATCACGGCGTGTCAGCTTAATGTGCGAGAAAAGCCCGAAGTGATGCAGGTGTCAGACGTTTACCACTTCGGTGAAACCCACGAGATCGGGTATGGTGCTGACAAACCTAGAAACATAATCGGGGCGAACCGGGATTCGAACCCACAATCATAGGTTTCTGGCGTGCCCAAGGGACGCAACTCTGCACAGCGAATCGCGGCGCCTTAGACGACTGGACCACCCGTGCCCCTTAGTTATAGTTAAATAGACATAATCAATTTTAAAAACAGTCCTTTCAATTTTCAATATTATAAAAAAACTCGGTATACTTTCTTTTGCCCAAGTTTAATTATTATTATCAATTTTCAATATCATAAAAATGCTCGGTATACTTTCTTTTGCCCAAGTTTAATAATTATTATATCTATGCCTTGAAATATATATCGTTAACAAATGTATATCCAATATATTGCATGTAGTAACCTTTTGTTTCGAAAGAAATTAATGTTTTTCATCAAATTGCTATATACACAAAGCCAATTCAATGTAATTTAAGTTTGTAATTAATCATATTGTAAACATATACTCAACAACAAAAGTTCCTGTGACACCAATATTTTAGTGTATTTTTCAAACAAGTAAAGTTTGGTTTTCAATATTGTAGTACATTTATGGAATCAAGTAAAAAAAACGCAACTGCTACAGAAAAGCATGCATTCCAGGCAAAATGTGACTTTTAAGCAAGCCCCATGCATTTCAATACCCAAGAATGGGTAAAAAAACATGTGCGTTAACGGGATTCCATATGCATTGTTTAGCATCGTGCTGACAACAACCACTCAGAAAAACAACAAAATTACGCAAATATTCAACATTACGAAATGCCACGCCTGTCCGAAAATGAGCATCTGCGAGCCATTGGTATGCTTCAAGCAGGATCGAGTCAACGTGATGTTGCAAGACAATTTATCGTCCACAGAAACACCATTATTGTTTATGGCAACGTTGGCAACAGACGAATGCACTCAGAGACCATCCTCGGAGTGGCAGGCCACACGTAACCAATAATCGACAAGACAACTGGATTCGAACAACACATCTACGAAATCGATTCCAGCCAGCAACAGTGACTGCAAGAAGCGTCCCTGGACTTCGACGAATAGCTTCACAAACTGTACGTCGTCGCCTCAGATGTGCAGGGATTGTCACCAGAAGACCCGCCAGACGTCCCATTTTGACAGGAAACCATTGCCAAGCACGTCTACAGTAGTGCAGACAGCGTCTACGCTGGACAGCCATGCAGTGGGGACAAGTTCTATTCACTGACGAGTCTCGTTTTCACCTCAGCCACAGCGATTGACGGATTTGAGTGTACCGACGTCGAGGTGAACGTAACGCCAATCATTGTGTCATGGAAGAAGATCGGTTCGGGGGCGGCAGCGTTATGGTATGAGGAGGGATTACAGCAAAACAGAGGACCCGTTTGATAGTGGTAGAGGGAAATCTCAATGGACAGCGCTGTTTTTTTTATTTATGAAATCACACATTTTCTGAAGTCAGTATGGTAAATTAAACCATTTGAACACTTACAGGAGTCTTTTATCTGTTGCAAAACCGAAATTGTTTCAGATTTGGTAAAAAACATAACTTTGCATTAAATCTTATACTCCGACGGTTCCCTCTCAATTCTATCCACTACTGCAGCAAAAGCTATAGTTGGTGAGGTGAGGTGAGGTGAGGTGAGGTGGGGTTTATTGCACTTGTTTAGCGACATGCATGCACGTGTGTTTGTGTGTGTGTGTGTATGTGTGTGTGTGTGTGGCTGCTTGTACTAGTCTGGACTGATGCTGATTTATGGAGCTAGCTCACTGAGATACCATGCCGCAGTTTAACATGAATACCCCACTCAGACACAGTATACCGACTCCAAGCCAACCAGTCCTTGTTTTAGCCCCTAACTGCAGAGCGCTAGACAGGGTAATAAGGAGTACCATATTTTAACGTATTTTAGTATGACGCGGCCGGCGATCGAACCCCGGACCTTCCGCTCTCCTGGCGGACGCTCTACCACTAGACCACGGAGGCGGCCCATAGGCTATTGAAGTAACTGCATGGAAGAGTTTGATCGAGAGGGAGATACACTTCCGGACAAAAGAAAGTATACATACGTGTTTGACGGTGGCTAAAATGAAACTAAAATGAAATGGTTATTTGATGATGACGTATTTGATATGGAAATCATAATTGTGTCTTGGACCTGTAATATGTTTGAAGTGTTTCGGGGGCTGTTTTCAGCCCAGTAACGCTTTGATAACGGTTGTTATTATTTGTATCAAATCCAATTTCAAGTGTATACTTTGTTTTGGCTGGCAATTTCAATTCTTAAATAACATTCTTCAATATAGCATGTTCATGCATACACAACCAATTCTGAAGTTGGATTTGACATCAAACAATCACTTACTTTGTTCATCTTTGAGGATATTCAATAATATTTAGAAGAAAGTTGTGTTTTCCAAATGACAGTCACGCAGTTCATGTTCGTGTACGAGGTGAACTCGATGACAGTGCGTAATTTGGTCCCCATTCATTCTGTATCCCCCTTAATACCCAGCCATTAACACCCAGGGGACCTGGGGTCGGGGAACAGACGTCACTTGGCTAATGAGGGGGATTCTTTGTCGGCATAATGGGGATCGTTATTGTGGGAAGGGCTCCGACAGAGCTGGATACCCACCACGACAGACAGTGTGACGTTGACACTGATAAAGGCCTCTTGGTAGTGCTAATCCTGTGAGTCTGCCACTTGTGACGTCTTCTCAAGCTACCCGTGGAAAGCCGAGTTAGAATTGGTCTTCAGCAACCCATGCTTGTCGCAAGGGCGACTAACGGGATCGGGTGGTTAGGCACGCAGACTTGCTTGATGCATGTCATCGTATCCAAATTGTGTAGTGTAGATCGATGTTCATGATGGCAATCAGTGAATCGTCTGGTTCAGATTCGATTACTTACAAACCGTCATATAGCAACAACAACAAAAAACTTCTTAAGCTAGTTTGTCAATAATTCCGTGTATATATTTCGAAAATACATTCGCTTTTGTTGTTAGATATAACAAGTAAAAGATAATAATTTACTGTACCCAAAGAATGAAATGTCTTGCGTTCATTGTGATTATTGTTTTGTAAAATAGCAGTTTACATCTGCACTTTTGTTAGTATTTAGCGGTGGCGGTGGGGTAGCCTAGTAGTCACAGCGTTCGCTCGTCACGCCGAAGACCCGGGTTCGATTCCCAACATGCGTAAAATGTGTGAAGCCCATTTCTGTTGTCCCCCGCCGTGATATTGCTGGAATATTGCCAAAAGCGTCGTAAAACAATACTCACTCACTTGACGGACCCCGCGTTGCCTAGATACGCGTTATATATTTGGTCTGTCAATCCCCAGAATGCATTCGTGGAACCGCCGATACCGCCTGCAGCGAATCCGGGAACAGATTCTGCGCAGTCTCGGCTGGACGGAGCCCCCAAACATCCCGGAAGGCCTCATCCGCAACATCACCAACCAATCATACCCCTACACGTTGGTGGGGGAAGAACTGGAGACCCAAGATGACCGGCGCTGTTTCTCTGCTTCGTGTGAGTATAGAAGTTACAAGAATGTATACACACATTTATTCACTAGTATTTAAAATGTATTCTATTTGTAACACTATAAACTACTAGGTATAACTAGAGGCGCCTGACGGGATCGGGTGGTCAGGCTCGTTCACTTGGTTGATGCATGTCATCGTATCCCAATTGCGCTGACCGATGTTCATGATGTCAATCACTAGATTGTCTAGTCCAGACTGTAATATTGCATCAAACAAACAAACAAACAAACATCTACGTGTTATAAGAATATTGAAACCTACCTAGAGCAATAGATACTAGTTATAACTAGTTATAATAATACATCAACATTGTATACAATTAGGTATAACGCTATATACTACTAGGTATAGCATTATTTACAACTAGGTATAACACTATATACTACTAGGTATAACAATATATACTACAAAGTATAACACTATATACTACTAGGTATAATATAATATACAACTAAGTTTAACAATATATACTATTAGGTTTGAAATATCTGTTACTAGGTATAGCACGACATGCTTTTGTGTTTAACATCATATACTGCCATGTAAATACTAGTTTCCAAATCATTTTAACAAATATGAACAAAAGAACACCGAGCGATTAATGCACTGTTATCCGCGAATAAAATGTATAAAAATATTTTAAAAATCACTGAAAGGTAATAATGAACACAACGAACACAACAACACTGAACCCTTAAAGATATTTTGTTATCCGAAAACGCTCAGCTTAAGTACTGTGTGAAAACGATTTTGGTCAAGGTAAAGAAAAATGTTAAATTTTATTTTTTTAAATAAAAACAAAATTGGTGATAAAATATAAAAAGCTTGTGTCGTTGTCCGAGGTACTTGACAACATGACAGGCAGACAAAAAAACAACAAAAAACAGAAAAAAAACCAGTGCTGACTGTGAAATTCTGTCCATGAAAACAGGGGCGTTAGTTAAAGACGTTGTACCTGTCAAGGCCGTTCCACGTGGACCCACGTGGCGGTAACGGAACCCATGTCTGCCCATGGGTATTTTCCATTCTTAGATGTTTGAGGTATTCAAAATGAGAATAGCATGTGACCCTGAATGGAACTTCATTCATTCATAAGTTCGTTGGAACTTTCCAGTATCACCTTGAGCTATGTATATATGGTGAAGAGAGCCCCCCGGGCGGGATAGAGTGTTGCCGAGGAATGAATGGGCCACATTGATTGTGTGGCGACAGGCTAAGGCGGGTGGAGCCCATCGTGGCGGATGTTTATCGCTTGTTGTCAGATTTAGATTATGTTAAATTGGAATAATATGTTTGTGGGATTTGCAACAGGAATGCCTCAAACACTAATGTATTAAAGAAAGAATTTGTCTAACATGTATAAAATACATGACATTTAATGGTCATTATTTCTATTCTGAACGTAAGTTAAATACTTTTTAAAAATATTTATTTTTTTTGTAATAATTTAAAATAAAAAAATAATTAAATCAATTAAAAGACAAAATAAACTGAACGGCCGTAGAACTATATCATACCAATAAATGAGGAAGAATGTGTCACCCAGTTGTTGCTGGGGTACGGTTGAACAACCAGTACGTCAAAAACATTTTAGAAGTAATAGTTAGAAGAAAATAATGACATGAATTTATTTATAAGAACTTTGTGTCAGCGTTTCAGGGCTACTTCTTGCCCCTTCATTGTTTGAATAATGAATAGTCAAGAAGTACCTTGAAACGTTAAGAATTTGTTATCCATAAAAAGTTTCAAGTCTTCATTTCAAATGTACGCTTAAATTACTCGTTTTCGTGGATTAGGAATTCTAAACATGTCTGATGTTGTTTCCCTTTGAAACAAAGCTACAAATACTGTTCAAATTCCCAAAATGTATTAAACGATATAAAGCATACTGATAAATGTTATCAGTTTAGAAATATCAATTTTGACGACAATGAATGGGTGGAGAATGTTTGTTCTTTATTTTTCGTTACACTTTTTACATTACACAGAAAAAAACAAATGAAAGTGACACGTTTGTGCTACCATACCATCAGTGGACATACTTTGACAATCGCTATGAGTTCCTGTGACGTGTCTTGTTATGGCGTTCTAGGTTCTCTGCCGAGGAACGTCGACCGCCAGTTGTGGGAGGATGAAGAACTCGGTGGTTTCCGTGTGTACACGAGTCTGGCGGCAAGACAAGACATTGTCCCTACAAACTTGCGCCAAGCAAATCTGAATGTATTCCTTCGACACACAAATGGTGAGCATTATAATCATTATTTCTTTGACAATGATAAATCTATATTTATATTTCATTGTTTACAAGGGGGCACGGGTGGCCCAGTCGTCTCAGGCGCCATTCGCTGTGCAGAGTTGCGTCCCTTGGGCATGCCAATACCTATAGTTGTTGGTTCGAATCCCGGTTCGCCCCGATTATGTTTCTGAGGTTGTCAGCACCATACCTGTACTCCTGGGTTTCACCGAAGTGGTAAACGTCTGAGACCTGCATCACTTCGGGCTCTCCTCCCACATTAAGCTGACACGCCGTGATATGACTGGAATACTGTTAAAAGCGGCGTTAAACCCAACTCACTCACTCATTGTTCACAAACACAGCTGTATCTGTTTATAAAAGACGACCCAGAAATTGGAGGGGGCTATATAATTATTAGTTAGCCTGAAACTATATACGAACGAACATGTTGTTTTCAGTTAAACCCTGTTCATCCGAATGGTACGAACCGTTTCCGGTTATTTAGTCCGGATGAACGAATGTCCGGATTAACGAATAATTGTACGAGTAATGAGCTTGGTCATTGACGCTCCCACAAGTAATCGTCCTTAATGTGAGATGTCCGTATTAACGGGGTTTCACTGTACATGGTTATCTATCGATGCCTGACACTCTCTGACAAACATGACGTAAAAGGTAATGATACCGTGTAAGCCCTCGTCTTGCGGAGATCACATCCGTGGTGTAGAGCGTTCGATCCCCGGCCGCGACATACCAAAAGAGGTTAAAAGATGGTCCTTGTTGTTACCCTGACTGGCGTTTGGCATTTAGGGGATAAAACAAGGACTGGAGTCTCGGCATAGCAAATGTAACGCAGTGGGCTAGCACAATAAAACAGTTGCTTGGGCGGACCCGAACAAACAGCCTCGCACGCACGCACGCACGCACGCACGCACGCACGCACGCACATCTTTGACACAGTTTTTGCTGTTCTTCCTCAGGCTTCACATGTCACGGCGAGGAGGTTCCAATGTCCATCAGCGGATCCAGGTTCCTGGTGTCTGTGTACCAGTTCCTCAGACCTCTGAGATTCCAGCGATCTCGGAACAGAGGTAAGATACAAATATACAAAAACCTGCAAGTTAAGCAAATACTTGAAAAGGTGTTTGCGTTGAAACAACAAAGAGATCGTAATTACTTCCCATCCTATTGTTTTCTATAGCTTGTTCGATCCGTGGAGATCCGGGGTAGAATAGGTCTTCAGCAACCCATGCTTGCCGTAAAAGGTGACTATGCTTGTCGTAAAAGGCGACTAACGGGATCGGGTGGTCAGGCTCGCTGACTTGGTTGATGCATGTCATCGATCCCAATTACGTGGATCGATGCTCATGATGTAAATCACTGGATTGTCTAGTCCAGACTCGATTATTTACAGACCACCGTCATATAGCTGGAATATTGCTGAGTGTGGCGTTAAACAACCAACCAACCAACCAACTACAGCTTGTTCAATGGTCGTTCTAATGTTCCCACTTTGGATTCAGTATTAAACAGGAAACGCTTGCTTGATGCCCGGATGGTGACAACAAATGGACCCACATGGGTGATGTTTAACGTGAAGCAGGCCGTCTCGGAGTGGTTGAGCGGTGAACGAAACAACTTCGGGTTCGAGATTATTGTCAAAGATGAAAACGAGGTCCCGTGCAACGCCATGAATATGCTTGTCCACGTCAACTGCAACAGCCCGGAAGGTAGGGACATACGTAGAGAATAATCTCGTCTCAAAGTAATGTCACATACTGCAGAACACGGGGACCCGTGAAGACTCGGGGAAGAATAGGTCTTCAGCATCCCATGTTTGCCGTAACAGGCGACTATCCTTGTCGTAAGAGGCGACCAACGGGATCGGGTGGTCAGGTTTGCTCGCTTGGTCGATGCATGTCATCGTATTCCAATTGCCTGGGGGCGGTCGGGTAGCCTAGTGGTTAAAGCGTTGGCTCGTCACGCCGAAGACCCGGGTTCGATTCCCGACATGGGTACAATGTGTTAAGCCCATTCTGGTGTCCCCCGCCGTGATATTGCTGGAATATTGCTAAAAGCGGCGTAAAACCATACTCACTCACTCACTCCAATTGCCTGGATTGACACGCCGTGATATAACTGGAATACTGTTAAAAGCGGCGTTAGACCCGTGAAGATCCGGGTTAGAATTCAGAAACCGATGCTTTCTGTAAAAGGCGACTAACAGGATCGGGCGGTCAGGCTTGCTGACTTGGTTGATGATGCATGTCATCGTATCCCAATGGCGTGGTCATGATGTCAATCACTTGATTGTCTTGTCCAGACTCGAGTATTTACAGACCGCCGTCATGTAGCTGGAATATGCTGAGTGCGGCGTACAACAAACAAACAAACAAACTAAAAGCGGCGTTAAACCAAACTCACTCACCACGGAGGTGGTGTTCAAAAGAACTCTTATTCGGCTGAAATGGATATAATTGATTTTGAAATCTTAATTACTTTTACATATTCAACTGCCATTGTCATTCTTCATCTGGGTAGCCGAGTGGAAAACGCGTCGGCTCATCACGCCAAAAACCGGGTTCGATTCCCGGGTTCGAAGCATTTTCTTTGGTGTTCCCCGGTAATAATATGCCTGATATATTTCTAAATATGGCGTAAAACACGACTCACTTCAGAGACTGGATGCAGGGAGGACAACTCGGAGCCTGCAGCTCTCAACAGATTCCGCTGGTTACACGAGAACATCGAGTCCAACTATCCATATTTAGAAATCATCACAAGACAAGGCCGACTTCCTCCTCAGTTTGGTCGGCTCCGGGCGAGACGTGACCTAGGAGCTACGTCATCACCAGTGAGTGACGTCACAACTGCGTCACCAAGAAACATCGTGAGATCGGTCGGGATGTGCCAGGGCACAGAAGTGAGGATAGCAACGTGGGAATCAAGTGAGTTGATAAATGTTATGCCTCATTTATTTATACAATGTTAAGGTGAGCGTGACGTTTATTTTCTAATAGGACACATATGGTCACTCTCTCTCTCTCTCTCTCTCTCTCTCTCTCTCTCTCTTTCTCTCTCTCTCAACGAGCAGTCTCGATCGGGATCGGGGGTAGTCGGGAACTGGGTTGCATGTCATCGTATCCCAATTGTGACGATCGATGCTCAAGATGTCAATCAGTTATTCAGTTTCGAATAGTTGCACACCGCCGTCATATGGCTTGAATATTGCTGGGTGCGACAAACAAACAAACAAACCAACCTTTACCAGCTCGTGTGTAATTTGGCGATTGTTATATATTTCAGGCCCCTATGTAATTGCGCCTACATCCTACACGACGTTACTGTGTGGCGGCACCTGCGTGACGACATTCAACGGCATGCTACAGGTAGGTGTCTGTAGTTACCTCAATCTTGGGGAATTCGAGTTGCGTACCTTGACTGGACCAGGATCCACATATCTTCAGTTTATGTTTCACCGTAGTTATAACGTAATGTACGTTGGTGAGGTTTAATGTACCATGTATAAACATTGTTTATAGCAAGTTTTTATTTCTGTTGACAGATAGTATCGTCACGTTGCCGTCCTACCGAAACACGTCCTGTAATGGGTCTTTATTTTGACGATTCCCAGCGAATTTACTACGGAGAACTACCCTTCACACAAACTTTACAGTGCGGCTGCTGACGAAGTACTGGTCTGCTTCAAGCTTCTTGAATTATGGTTACATTTGAATATGAAAAATAATGTCAGCACTTTATGTCTCAAAACCGAACATTTCGCCTTATTATTATCATTATGTAGCATACATCTCTTGCAAGGTTTCTTAATGGATTGAAAAACAAGACAAGCTAGTATAACTGATATAACACTTGAAGGAAAACTTTGATTATTATATTGAATAGTAATTATTATATCTATATCAAAGAATATCTACAGCTTCGAATCTGTATGCAACAGTGTGACGTCACAATAAATGCAATGAGAACGAGACAGCAGCGTCGTGTGGGGTCCCGTATGCATCACGTGATCAGGGTTGTCCCATTTTTTGTCAAAACAAAATATTCTTCCATAATAATTGATTCAGGACAGATTTACCAGTAGCTAATGCATAATACCCGAGAGATTAAATGGAGTTAACATTACTTAATGTGGGATCTTTAGCTTGTTATAAATATGAATAAAGGAATTATTTAAACCTAGGGATAAAATATATTTGTATGATAAATGAAAATTGAATCTCAATACGAACTGAAAGAGGTGTTTTCATGTATCGTATTCGTATCATGTAGCAGTTATCATATCAGTATTTGTTTAAAGTAGGCTGTACCTTACGTTATTGCATTTTTTTATGCACATTAACACTTATTCCAATGCTTGTATGAACACGTTGCCATGGTTACTGCACTACTTCACTTGCAGCGTGTCACGTGCCATTGTACATAATTCATGACGTACTTAGGCGGAGTTGCCCAGGCAGGGACCCGCATCTCACGTGCCCACCTTACAATGCAATGATGCGCATACGCGAGCTAGTTTGAGTGATCGAATGTTGGTATGGGTGAGGGAATGAGAGTGAGTGAGAGAGAGTGTGGATGAATGAATCATATTGGTTATTCCTTTTCCTTAACAAGGAGACAGATGGCAGCAGTTCTTTTGTATTACATTGTTTATCAATATGAATAAAACATGTGTATATATGATTGGAAACTTGATAGGAGTGGCCAGTATTCGTAATATAGCTTCAGTGCGGGAATATGAAGGAAACGGAATCGGTTTCATCAGAAGCGCTCGTAAATACCCAGAATCAGCATCAGCATCATTATTTAAAGTTACCATCTACGTTCTTCCTGACAGCAAATAGTGTGAAGAAGCCTTTTAAAGTTGGAAGATGACACCTTTTATTGATAATTATCAAACGTTGTTTGTCGACGCTCTTCCTGCCTGCAAAACGGCCTTAATGATAGGTGGACGTTCTTTAGAAATTGGAGAATGACATACAGTAAACTACGGTTATAACGAACCCAAAGGGACCACTTAGTTTAGTTCGTTATAACCGTAGTTCGTTATAGGCATATATACAGCATAACTACAGCAAATTTTAGGGACAAAAAAGTAAGTTCGTTATATCCGTCAGTTCGTTATAAGCGTGTTCGTTATAACCGTAGTTTACTGTATCTTATGGATAACAACTTTTTTTATTGTTTCTGATGATGGAGCAAAGATGTAGCCCTGAAACGTCTTCATAACAATAATATTCCACGTCTTCAAGGAAGTAGCTAAAGCTTAGTCTCTTAACATTTTTTTTATATATATATAGAAACAAATAACTCAATTAAAATTGAAAAGAAACCCCAGATTTAGATACAGAACCTGTGAAAAGTCTAGACTTGCTATGGGTTTACAGTAAGTCCTGGGAGGAAGTGAAAATAATATGGTTCAGGGACTGCGAGGGAAGCAGAACTTCATTACTTCATCAGTACTAAATCATGATGCAAACGATGGAGGTGTGCCGAGCCGGTTGAGTGAATTTGTCACCCTTTTATAATGCATTTTATTCAATATTAAAAGTGGTGTTTCCCGTATATACAAAGTATATGGGGACGAAATACCGACCATTGTTTTGTTATATGTTTTATTCACATTGTATTTATGCATTTGTTTAAATGTATTTATTTCGTTTAAATGACATGTGATTGTTATAAACCTCTCTGTTAATCCCATTGTTGCATCTCTTTGCCTTCTGTACCTAGTGCCTCGTGTGTAGACTAGTGTAGTAGGTCGTACAGACTGTATCGTGTGTTATCAATGAATGTCGTTATCAAATAAACATCCGGTACATCACATCTTATTCTATGTTGTTTGTTGTTTGACGCCGCACTCAGCAATATTCCAGCTATGTGATGGCGGTATGTAAATAATACAGCCTGGACCAGATGATCCAGTGATTGACACCATAAGCATCGATCCACGCAGTTGGGATACGATGACATGCATGAACCAAGTCAGCGAGCCTGACCACCGATCCCGTTAGTCGCCTCTTACGACAAGCATAGTCGCCTTTTACGGTGAGCATGGGTTGCTGAAGACCTATTCTACCCGGATCTTCACGGGAAGCATGGGGTGCTCAAGACCTATTCTACCCGGATCTTCACGGGTGTTTATTTTATTTACAAGGTAATTGGGTAGCCTAGTGGTTAAAGCGTTCGGGTACAATATCATAGTCCCGGGTACAATATGTGATGCCCTTTTCTGGTTTTCTTGTGGTACTGCATGAATATTTCTCAATGCGGCATAATCCTCATTCAGTAAATGTTCTATGCATTACAACAGAGTGGTCTGCAGCGTTGTGTCCCTTAGTCGTACCAGGATCCGGTGATCGTGGGTTGCAGTCTACCCCGAGAATGAGTGCTGGTGTATCATCGCTATACATGTGCATGCTTGGTTTTACAAGCCATATCAAATTTGTCTTTCTTCACACAAAACACAGGGCGGTGGGTACCCTAGTGGTTAACGCGTTCACTCGTCACGCCGAAGACCCGGGTTCGATTCCCGACATGGGTACAATGTGTGAAGCCCATTTCTGGTGTCCCCTGTCGTGATATTGCTGGAATATTGCTAAAAGCGGCGTAAAACCATACTGAGTCAGTCAGTCACACAAAAAACAGGGCGGTGGGTTAGCTTAGTGGTTAACGTGTTCACTCGTCACACTGTAGACCGGGTTCGAGTCCCCACATGTGCAATGTGTGAATCCCAATTCAGGTGTCCCCCGTGTGTTTTTGCTGGAACATTGCGTAAACAGCGTAACACAATACTCACTCACAAAAAGCAGACACGTCACGGTAACCTGAAATCCTGTTTTGCTAATATTAATCAAATTGGCTACGTGATGAAGCCAATATTCATGGCTTCATTTTGGTCGTACATACAACTAAGTCATTATATACGCATGTGATGAGGGTTGAACCTGACATGGGAATTCAGTTGTCTCTTATTTCTGATACAGCCACTGAATCGTCATTGAATTAAGTGAAGCCATGGACCTAGTAATATACTTTGCTTTAATATCCACATGAATAAAAATTCATCAGCAATGACTGATCTGAATGTGCAGTCATTGGAGGAGTTAGGTTGTGAATAGAACGCAGAGTCGCTGCTTGTCCGCATTCAATCATTCAATGCTTATTACTTTGAATACAATGAGACAGCCTCCGTGGTCTAGTGGCAGAGCGCCCGCCGGAGAGCGGCACGTGCAGGGTTCGATCGCCGGCCGCGTCATATCAAAATACGTATAAAAGATGGTACTTGTTGTTTCCTTGTCTGGCGCTCAGCATTAAGGGCCTAAAACAAGGACTGGCAGCTCGGAGTCGGTATGCTGTGTCTGAGTTGGGTATTAATGCTAAACAAATATCGCTGAGTGCGGCGATAAACAAGAAACAATCTTCAGTCTACCCTGGCTAAATTGTCCCAGACTATAACGCCAAACTGGATATAACGCCCAAGGGTATCAGAACGGATTTCCAACCTTTAGAATTCCCTGGATATACTACCAAACTTATCATAACGCCACCGCCACCCTTCCTCAGAACAAATGTACCAATTATAATGCCAATTGCCTTTGCCAGATGGCCAACCAAAGCACACCAGCTGCTGCAGTTAGGGGATTATTCGGTGAGTGTGCAAGTTTAAGTGAGTTGTTTAATCCTTCCTTAAGCCGATTAAGAGCTAATCCTTTGGACATGTTTCACTGGAAATGTTTTCACAAATGATTGACTCACACGGTTCTAGGAAAGTCATTGCTCTTTATAAATTGATGTCTTTGCACATGACTAGCATGGCTACATATGACTGGCATGGTTACATATGACTGGCATGGTTACATATGACTGGCATGACTACATATGACTGGCATGGCCACATATAACTGGCATGGCTACATATAACTGGCATGGCTACATATCTGGCATGGCTACATATAACTGGCATGGCTACATATAACTGGCATGGCTACATATGACTGTCATGGTTATATATGACTGGCATGGCTACATATAACTGGCATGGCTACACATGACGGGCATGGCGACATATAACTGGCATGGCTACATGACGCCACCCTGGTCATAACGCCACCCTCAGCATAACGAAACCTTGGGCATAACGCCACCCTGTGCATAACGCCACCCTGGGCATAACGCCACCCTGTGCATAACGCCACCCTGGGCATAATGCCACCCTGGCCATAACGCCACCCTGGGCATAACGAAACCTTGGGCATAACGCCCACCTGTGCATAAAGCCACACTGGGCATAACGCCGCCCTGGTCATAACGCCACCCTGGGCATAACGAAACCTTGGCATAACGCCACCCTGGTCATAACGCCACCCTGTGCATAACGAAACCTTGGGCATAACGCCACTCTGTGCATAACGCCACCCTGGGCATAACGCTACCCTGGGCATTACGCCACCCTGTGCATAACGCCACCCTCGGCATAACGCCACCCTGGGCATACCGAAACCTTGGGCATAACGCCCCCCTGTGCATAAAGCCACCCTGGGCATAATGCCCCCCTGTGCATAAAGCCACCCTGGGCATAACGCCGCCCTGGTCATAACGCCACCCTGGTCATAACGCCACCCTGGGCATAACGCCACCCTGGGCATAACGCCACCCTGGGCATAAAGCCACCCTGGCCATAACGCCACCCTGGGCATAAAGCCACCCTGGGCATTACGCCCAGATATTCCTGGACAAACGTTGGCTTTGTAACCTGGGTAGACTGCATCAACAACATCAACACCAATAACCACTTCAAGATAGTTTATAAAGAATAACATTTAAACAGTCGGGGAACACCACAGCAGAATATACAAAAATAACGGGCCCATTGAGTTCCAAATACGCGGGATTCTAAATTTTAGCTGGAAACCCACAGCTCCATATCCTCTGGCATTGCTGACATTTAACATTATTGATGTAGATTGTTGTCATGCACATGTGAGTAGTACTACATGTACACTGACACCACGTTAATCCGGACGGTAACGTCCAATTGTAATCGTCCTGATTAACAAATATCCGGATTAACGAGTCTTTGTTACGGCGTAAGGTCCCTTTGTATGCATGGAGGCCTTCCAATCCGAAATCGCTAGTCGCCCCTTATTAACGGAGTTGGGACCGACGAGGTTTCATTGAATAACCCTGTATTCCATTCTCCAAGGTCAGATTGTTGTTGACTGAAGGTCATGGTGCGTCAATGAAGGTCATGGGTCGAGCCTGGAGTACAGTTCCCCACAACACGAGGTCAAACAGAGACACAGGGAGACACAAGGTCACATAGAGACACAGGGAGACACAAACAGGCGGAGACAAAATGACAGAGACGTGTGAAGACACGTGGACCTACAGTATGTAATCTGATTGGTCAATGGCTGCAGAGGCTAAGTCAGAAGGTCACATGTGTACGTCACGTGCCTCTTCCCTCACAGTTTCTTCATGTCCGCCATTTCCAGGAGTTTCTGCACTTCCGCCGCCGTCGGACGCTTGTTTGGATCAGCATTGGTGCACTTTCTCACCACCTCCCTCAGCTGTGATCAAACACAACAGGAAATATTGGACTTTGAGAGATATCATTAAGATAATAATAATTCATTTAAAACAAATTATTATTAGTACAGAGAATAACTCAAAACGCTACTTAGTTAAAGCGGTAAGTAAGATTGTTGGTTAAGAAAATTTTAGATTTTTAGATTGAGTTGATGTCGAGGCCCTACATTTCATTTTATTGGGATGCTTAATGCATATCATATAAGCAGCCATCAATGAACATACGCTAGATGTATGAGTGAGTGGGTTGTATTCCGTGCCACTTAGGACATTATTTGGGTTATTTTTCAGCATCCATGAATACATTGAGCCAGGACGAAAGCGTTTGTGATCAACTGTTCAAGCCTATACATATTTTAAATGAAAAAGTTGCTAGGCAACTGACCTTCTCCAGAATCAGTTCCTCCTCCTCGGGCGATAGGTCAAGGCAGATATCATTGACTCGCGTTTGATCTTTGACCTCTATCTTCTCATCGTCGGTGCCTTCGTAGCCGATGTTGTCTCGCTCTTTTTTGTAACAGTGAAAACAGTTTAATGTCGACTGTGTAGTGGCAGAATACGTAGAAACAGTTTAATGTTGACTGCGGATTGGTAGAAAACCTAGAAACAGTTTCATGTCGACAGTGTATTGGCAGAATACGTAAAAAGAGGTTAATGTTGACTGCGGATTGGTAGAAAACCTAGAAACAGTTTAATGCTGACGGCGGATTCGTAGAATACGTAGAAACAGTTTAATGTTGACTGCGGATTGGTAGAATACGTAGAAACAGTTTAATGTTAACAGCGGATTGGTAGAAACGTAGAAACAGTTTAGTGTCGACTGTGTAGTGGCAGAATACGTAGAAACCGTCTAATGTTGACTGCGGATTGGTAGAATACATAGAAACAGTTTAATGTTGACTGCGGATTGGTAGAATACGTAGAAACAGTTTAATGTTGACTGCGGATTGGTAGAATACATAGAAACAGTTTAATGTTGACTGCGGATTGGTAGAATACGTAGAAACAGTTTAATGTCGACAGTGTAGTGGCAGAATATGTAGAAACAGTTTAATGTTGACTGCGGATTGGTAGAATACGTAGAAACAGTTTAGTGTCGACTGTGTAGTGGCAGAATACGTAGAAACAGCTTAATGTTGACTGCGGATTGGTAGAATACGTAGAAACAGTTTAATGTTGACTGCGGATTGGTAGAATACATACCTGCACCCATTGTCCCGGATTTGCTGCAGA